ATCTTTGATTAATAATGATGTTTGAATTTGTTATAAAAATAATGAGATATTTTAAAAAACTGATTTGTTACACAAGTCAGATTTTCTATTTTATACCCTCATGTGACATATCATTTGACTGTTATTATATAAATTCGTTATAACAAAATCTTTTATTTAATAAAAAAAAAATAGGGATAAGATTTGTTCGGTATAACAAAAATCCGTTATAACAAGGTCTGTTATAACAAGGTTTGACTGTAATTGTATCTGCAGACAAACTGCATCTAGTTGGTGTAATTAAATCAGTACCACCAGAAAAGATCCTTTCAACTGGAACACTAGATGCTGGAATGGCAAGATAATCCCTTGCCATTTTGACCAGATGAGGATGTGCATCTACAAAAAAATCATGTCATACATTTTAATTATATCAATATAATCAATTATTTTATTGTTAAATAATAAAATCTAACTTACCTTCCACCATAACAAAACATCAGTCTTTTCTTGTGCATTTGGATCTTTGAGGTACAAATCTAATTCATTGGAATTGTGGGCAATATGTTTATGCTTATAAATCTGACTTGTTAAATCATCCTCACCATCATTTTCATTATTACTAATTTCAGAATTAATTGGTGCATATTCAACTTGATATTTATGTATCTTCTTTCCCAATTATTTTCTTTATAATAATTAAGTTTAAGTTTGGGGTCCAATACTATTAGAAAATTATGATTATTATAATTTATTATTATGAAAAAAAAATATTGCTTCTTTATTTATTAACTAATTAAGACAGATTAATATAACCTATGTCTTAAAATGATGGTTACTTGTTGTTATTGTATACAATGAAGCATCAGTTTTATTATAATATTGCAATAATTTATTTTTTGCTTTAGTTATAGTGACTTTCATTTCATCTGAAATATCTGTCAAGTCTTCATAATCTTCTAATTGGTTTATAAGCCAATTGTATATTGGTACAGAGGATGATAGTGTTGGATAACCACTTGCACTGATATGTTTTGTTGCTCTTGAAAATATCTGGATAACAGTAGTAAAGCATTATTCTCTAAAACAAAGTAAAGTAAATGAAATGAAATGAAAAATAACTCACTTTTAATATTTTTTCGAGTTCTTCAAGTTATTTTCACTTAAACCCAACTTCTAAGTTCTCTTTCAACATTATCCAAAGCTTATAAATGGGGCATGCTGCAACAAACCAGACAAAGTGAACATTGGTATTACCAAGAATTTCAGGGATCAAAATTTAGTCATTTGTAATGTGATCATAAT